GTAATCTCAAACTGACAATTCCCATGGCCCCATCGCCACCTCCTGGTATTCTCACATGACTAGTTCCCATGGCCCCATCGCCACCTCCTGGTAATCTCAAACTGACTAGTTCCCATGGCCCCATCGCCACCTCCTGGTAATCTCAAACTGACTAGTTCCCATGGCCCCATCTCCACCTCCTGGTAATCTCACACTGACTAGTTCCCATGGCCCCCACTGCTTAGGGTTGGCCTGTGACTAACAGTATCAGCAGAAGTGACAGCATTGTCACAGCAGAGATCAGGTTACAAAGGACTGTGGCTTCCCCTTGGGTTCTCTCTCTTTCTCAGCATTTCCTCGGGAGCCCGCCGGCTGCCCGGTCTTGAAGATGCCTCAGCAGCGCTGTGGGGAGGCTCATGCTGTGAGGGGCCGGGGCCTCAGCCCAGTCCGCGAGGGGCCAGGGCCCCGGCCCACAGTTCGCAAGGAGCTGAGGCCTGGCAACGCCACGTGGGTCCTTCAGCCCAGGTGAATCTCCAAGAAGACCACAGCCCTCGCCGACCTGTTGACCACAACCTCACGAGAGAGCCTGAACAAGACCCCCAAGCTGCTCCCCAATTCCTGACACACAGGAACTGATAATGAACGTTTGTTGTTCGAAGCCAACTTGGAGAGTAATCTGTTCCACAGCAGAGGACACCTGACATGGTGGCTTTCAAATCTCCTGACCAGGACCCACGGAAATCCATGTCACTGGGCATTCAATCCATCACACACATGCTCCTCCATGTGCTCATACAAGCATGTAGACAAGTACCCTTCATAAAACAGTACCTAGTCCTACTACGTATATTCTACATACTCTGATATTTTCTTGATTACTTTGTTTCATTCCATTCCATTAAAAAAATGGTGACAGTAACCCACTGAATTGATTTCACAATCTACACGTGGTATGGGGCAGAGCTCAGAAGGACGAGGGTGTGGGCACAAGTCGTAACTTCTGTTTTGCCCTCTCCCGTTGATACTGCAGTAGCCATGACCTTACCTGACTCACCCTTTAAGCCAGTTCAGTTTTATTTTCAAAGCAGCTCCCGCTGTGGAGAGTGGGCACCAGTAAGGGCTGACTGTCTAATCTTTGCACTTACATTTGGCAAAAGGAGTCCAGATGACACTACACATTATATTTCTCTGTTAGTTTTGTAGTTGTTGTAAATCCTCATCTGAGGACATTTTTCCATCGATTTTTTTTAGATAGAGTGGAAGGGAAGAAGGGGGGAGGGAGGGAGAGAGAGAACATAGATGTGAGAGAGACACACTGATTGGTTGCCTCTCTCATGACCTTGGCCAGGGCCAGAATCAGACCTGCAACCCAGGTACGGGCCCTTGACCAGGAATCGAACCTGAGACCGAAAGGTCCATGGGCCGACGCTCTAACCGCTAAGCCAAACTCTTTGTTAATATTTCATAAAATATTTATTCATGCAAACTTTAGAAAAATATGATGTGTTCATGATCATGCTGAAAACAAACCCATTAGAATATAAATGCAGCCCCTGGGTAGTCCTGCCAAGCCCAGTCTCCTCTCTCCCACCATCCACGTACCCTTCACTTGAAGATTTTTCTCCCGTTCCCATGTGTGCATTTTATGTGTACGTGTGGGCACACATACATACACAGGTTTGTTTCCATGCAGGATCATGTTTTACATAGATGGGATCATACTGCACATATCCTTTTGCAACTTTTTTTGCTCTGTATGTTTTTGAGATTCACCCATTAATTCTAGTTCACTCATTTTAACTGCTGTATATTATTTATTGTACGAATTATACCAAACTCTTTTGTCCATTCCTCCTGTTGATAGTCATTTAGATTTTTTTTTTTTTTTTTGGTTACAAACAATATTATATTTCTAGTGCACATTCTCTCGAGTATATAACTAGATGTTGACTTTCCTAAAAGAACAGGATTAACTATACAAAGTCTTAGCAAGTAGCTATTACTGGTTTTATCCTTGCCCCATCTTCATATCCCAGCCTTCAGGTCTGGATTTGTTTTTGAGTCAACAGAGCCTTAAAGGCAGGACCAGGAGTCAGAAAAGAACAGAACAAAAAATAAAGCATCTACTTCTTTCTGAACTCGAGAGTGAAGGAAATAATGAATGTTAATTCATTTTTAATAGCTGCTGGGATGTCTTGATCATGAGGTCTTCTCTGTGCAACTCGCCTGTCAGAGTCTATGGGCAGTATACAGTTTTTACCCTCTTTTCAGGAACAGAAGGTTGGCCTCAGCTGGGTTCATGGAGGGGGAGAGGGGGGCAAACTTTTGTCACGGGCCAGGTGGTAAATATCTCAGGCTTTGCCAGCCTTTACCGGCTCTGCCACAACTCAGCCTTTGTAGAACGAAAGCAGCCACAATCTATCTGTAAACTAATGAGCACAGCTGTGTTTCAATAAAACTTTATTTTCAAAAAGGGGAGGTGAGCAGGATTTGACCTTCAAGTAGTAGTTTGCTGATTGCTGTTCTAAGCAGAAAACAGTTTAGACCAGCAACATGTAGTAGTATATATCAAAATTTAAAATTCAATCTGATAGTTTTCTCTGTCTGAATGGGCGGCTATCCTAAAACTGGCCACACCATCCTGCTGAAGGGTGTGGATAAAGACTGCTGGTGGGCGTGGAAATTGTGCATTTGCTTATTTCTTCAACAACTCCAGATGGTGTGAGCCCCGCCATGGGCTCATGCTCCACTGGACACCAGGGACACAAAAATAGAACACACAGCCCTGGCCAGGTGGCTCAGTTGGTTGGAGCGTCATCCTGTACACCAAAATGTTGTGGGTTCGATCTGCAGTTGGGGCGCATATGGGAGGCAATCAATCAAGGTTTCTCTCTCACATCGATGTTTTTCTGTCTCTCTAAAATTAATGAAAACCTATCCTCCGGTAAGGAGTAAATAATAATAATAATGATAATAACAATGATAACAAATTAAAAATAAAATGCACACACACCCTGTCCTCAGGGCACTGACAGGCTAGCGAAGGGGACACTGACCCGGTTATTAGCTGCTTTGAAAAGTGGTAAAATGTCACCCTGGCTGGTTTGGCTCAGTGGTTGGAGCGTCAGCCCTCAGACCAAGGAATCGCAGGTTTGATTCCAGTCGAGGGCACGTGCCTTGGTTGCGGTTTGTCCCCGGCCCTGGTCGGGGTCATGCAGGAGGTGATGAGTTGATATGTCTCTCTCACAGTGATGTTTCTCTCTCTCTCTCCCTCCCCTCCACTATATCTAAAGATAAATGGAGAGAGTGTCCTTGGTTGAGGATTAAAAAAAAAGATGTCCGGCTGGTGTGGCTCAGTGGTTGAGCGTCGCTGGTTTGATTCCCAGTCAGGACTTATGCCCAGGTTGTGGATCCTGTCCCCAGCGGGGGGCACGCAGGAGGTGGCCCATTGATGTTCTCTCTCATCGATGTTTCTATCTCTCTTTCCCTCTCCCTTCCTCTCTCTCTAAAATCAACTAAAAAAAAAAACTTGCTATCTTTAAAAAAAAAAGTGGTGAAATGGACACCCCACTTCTCTCTCATTGCAGCATTCATAGCAGCATAAATAGATCTGTCCAACAACAGCAGCAGTAATTAAAAACAATCATTAACAAGACTGGCTAACTCTAGTCTGAGGTGTCAAATACATTGTTCATCTCATGACAGGACCCCATGTGGTCAGCAGGCTGCATCCAGGTCGGGGTCCATCTGAAAGACCGGGGTTTGAGTCAGATCCAGCCCCTACTGCCTGCGGGACCTCAACTGTGCCTTTAAGTTTCAGCATAAATGAAGATGGCAAAGTGTCTACTTTAAAGAGACGGTTACAAGCAGTACATGACATAGTACATGGAAGGCATGAGCACATGGTAGGTTCTACACCAACGGCAGCCAGTGACACCTATCCATCCAGCAGCATCTGCTGACTGCCGCCCGAGTTCCTGTCCTGACCTCAGGCTACTGCTGTCCGCGTGGTCTGAGGAGATTCCGCTGCAGTGCAGCCTGAGAACTGCGCAGTCCAGGTGTCACAGGTCATAGGAACAGTCTGGGAGGCCCCAGCCTGCACCTTCCCACAACTGTTCACCCTTCACCCCCGCCCTCCCCCAGCCTGCTCCTATTCCCCACGACTCTAGGAGCCTACGATGGTTCATTTATGTGCCCACTTGGCTGGGCCACAGAGAGCCCAGATATGTGGTCAAACATTATTCGGGGTGTTCCTGTGAGGGTGTTTTGGGTGAGATTAATTTGAACTCCGTGGACTAAGTAAAGCAGGCTGCCCTTCCCAGTGAGGACGGGCCTCAGCCAATCAGTGAAAAGTCAGAAGAGAACAAAAAGGTTGCCCTGGCCGGTTTGGCTCAGCGGTTGGAGCATTCGCCCGGGGACCAGAGAGTCCTGGGTTCGGTTCCCGCTAGGGGCACGTACCAAAAAAAACCAAAACAAAACAGGTTGACCTTCCCCAAGTAGGAAAACTCTTCCTTCCTGACAACCAAGGAGCTGGGACCTGGGCTTTTCCTGCCTTCAGACTCAATGAAAACACTGGCTTTCTGGTCTCAAGGCCGCCAGCACTCGGGCTAGAACTGCCCCATGAGCTCTCCCAAGGTCCAGCTGGCCAAATGCAGCTATTGGGACTTTCTAGCCTCTATACTTGTGTGAGCCAATGTCTTATAATAAATCTCTTTAACATGAATATATATTTATACACACATCCTAGTGCTTGTTTCCCTGGAGGACCCTGACTGCTGCAGACCAGTTCTTTCCCAACACTGCTTGCTCGAGTTACCAGATGACCGGACTCCAGGCTGCCAGTGCAGGCAGTGCCCGTGCCTGGTGCCCCTGCACACACCCGCGTGCCTGTTCCCCGCAGCTGTGCTCTGAGCTCCGACCTCACCACCCTCAGGAGCCTCCCCTCCCCCTCCCACTCCCTCCCATGGCGTACTCAGTACTCACCGACACGGCCCACCACCTTCAAATGGCCTACCCCTTACCTCCAGGCACGCAGCGGAAGCCGTCTCCCCGATAACCCGGCTTGCACTGGCATGAGAAGGAGCCCGGGGTGTTGTAGCAGAAGGCATCAGGGTGGCAGCGGCTCGGCTGGCATTCGTCCACGTCTGCAAAACAGCCGGGCCCCAGGACAGGGAGATTTCTTCTGGAGCTCATGGTGCACCAGCAATTTAAGCCACTTGCTCAACCCTGCAGGACCTGTTTCTGATCTGGGAACACTGACTTAGAATTCACGCAGCTTAATTATCAAAATAGCAACTCCCCAATTTCTATCTTGTGCCTTTACAAAGTGTTTCACTTTTATGACAATGTTTCCATGAAAAATCAAGCTTGCAAACAGAAAAAAAGGACGATTCTTTTGTATTAGAAAATTATTCTTCTCCTAAATGAGAACTTGAAAAATGCCTGAGGGTTTGCAGACATTATTAACTACCGGACAGAAAAACCTCACGGTCAGTATAAAGAGACAGTCTCTCGGAAATTATAATCTATCCTGGAAAAGCTTGGACTTTTCAGAAATACTTTGTGGTATGAAGTTAAGTAATCTTGCAAAACAAGGGCCTGGGGCACTGTGTTCACAGTTATCCGCCTGAAGTTACCCACAGAGCGCCTGGCAGCCAGCGAGGGGCTGCTCGGGGCTGAGGGTCCTGTGGGGTCACTTACTCTCTACGCTGCACCCGGTTATCCACTAAGCAGAGCTGCCTTTTGGAGATGATGCGAGCAGGCCAGGTGATGGCTACACATACCTTACTAAGGAAACGGCTGGACTTTAAGCTCTACGAATACAAGGATGGTTTTTCTTTTTGTAAAAGACAGACAATCCCCCCAGTTCCTTGCAGACAGCAGGTGTCTAATTGTTGCCTGAATAAGCAAGTCACACGGAACAAAATAGTAGGGGGAGGCCAAGTGTTTTCCCCAATCAGAACAGCCTCCAAAACAAAAGGCTTAATCCAAACTACTAGAGAAGGACAAAATGCAGCCTTTTACCAACAGGGTTGAAAGAGTAACTCTTTTAAACTCAGGGTAAGTCAGTAATTAGCACATGATAACGACCATTAGAGCATTTCTTGGGGTTACACAGAGAAGTCAGTCACCACACACCTTGGCAGGCGCGGCCGTCCCCTGAGAAGCCTGGCAAACAGGAGCAGGTGTAGGAGGAGCCTCCCGTGTAGACACACTGGGCCCGCTGGGGGATGTCACAGTCATGCAGACCCGTGGTGCAGTGGTCGATAGGGCGCTGGTCCATGGCAGCTTCAAACACAAGGTGGACACACGTTTGGAAGGGAGGCCCCCGAGAAATCCCAGAGCCCTTTCCAGACCCCTCCAGGCCAGTGCTTTAGTCCACTAGGGGGCTGGGGCCTGAACCCCAGACCTCCAGGCCTCTCTCAAACTTCACCCCTGTTCCCCACTGGGCTGGTACCCTGTCTGTCCTGTCTCCTCCCACCTGGACACGGCCTTGGATCAGTCCTCACAGAATTACCCCTGGGTTGGTCACTCGGCCTGGCTTCCAACCTCACTTTCACCCAGGGCTCTGTCTCGGGCCACCCTCCACACCAGGCCCCACGCCCAGCTCCCTTTCCACCTGGGTGTGCAGGTGGAACATCGCAGGTACACACTTCCTTCAGCAGCGCTGCTGGTGGACTGTCCGGAGCCAAACACCTGTGACTTCTGCACAGTGTCTTTAGCCTTGGCTTACTGGGCAGGTGGAAGTCACCGCGGATGCTGAGTCAAGGTCGTCCATTCCCCACCAAGGAAGGAGAAATGAACTTCCAGGGCAGGGAGCAGGTCCGTGAGAACCACGGGGCTTCTGGAGGGAGCCTGGGTTCTACCCAGGATCCTGGCCCACGACCGCCGCGCATGGGCCCTGCTCGCGAGCCTCACGCGCTTCCTCTGTGGAACAGGAAGGCCCAGCACATGGGCTCTTGGTTTCTAAGGGTCCTGATGATGGAACTCGGGGGACGAGGGCTCAGGGAGTGGGTGAGTGACCTGGAGACGAGCCAGCAATACCCCATCTGTGCTCTTGCCTCAAGACAGAAGTCGAGGCTGAGGTCTAGGGTGATTTCCAATGGCTGGTTCCGGTGCTCTGGGGTTCCCAGGGCACCATGTAGCTTCTGGTTTTAAAGCTCTAAGACCCAGGACAGAGTCCCATCCCTCCCATCAGCCCAGAACCTTCCCTCCGAGGGAGAACCTGTGTCTGGATTATCCCAGAGGCACGAGGCCTCCTTGCCCTTCTCTTCGACGGATCTTTCCAAGATTGACCCACTTGCCTCCAGCGCTTCGAGACAGAGTGCTAGGCGCTGTGGGGGACAGGTGAAGAAGGGGCTACTCTTCAAAGGCCTGTGCCAAGCGAGAAGGTGGCCAAGTGCTGGCAGGTGGAACCCGGCCCGGGCACCGGAGTTGAGAAGACACCGTGGTGCCAGCACCATCGCACCCTTCGGTCTTGCGGGCTGTCGGGCTCTGACCTGCCACAGTGGTCCCAGTTTCTGTCTGGAACCCCCAGTCCGAGGACACAGTCCTGTTTCCTGGGACCTGCTAGCGCCCCAGGTCGCGCCGTTTCCAGTGCCCCTCCTGTCTCTGGGCACCTCCACGCCCCAGCTTGCGAGGTGCGAGAGGGGACACTTCAGAGAGACCGTAACCCCAAGGGTGGGGAAGAGCTACTCAGACAGGAAAGAGCCGAGAGACGATCCTGCCCACACGTTCTTTTTTCTCTTACTGTATTTATTTTATTTTTTTATCCTCACCTGAGGACATTTTTGCATTTATCTTTAGATAGAGCAGGGGGGGAGAGAGGGAGGAAGAGAGAGAGAGAGAAACACCGATGTGAGAGAGACACATCGAGTGGCTGCCACCCACACGACCCCAACCGGGTCCGGGGACAAACTGCAACTGAAGTACATGCCCCTGGCCGGAACCGAACCCGGGTCTCTCTAGTCTGCGGGCCGACACTCTAACCGCCGAGCCAGACCAACCGGGGTTCCATCTCTTACTTTAAATGTTTATCATTGACAGCTTGTAAGGGGTCATTTTATAAATGATGTTTGCTCAGAGCCTCCCGTCACCCCTCCCCCCCACCAGCGGAGGAGGTCCTCGCACCCTCTGCCATCACCTTCTAGACCCCAAATCAGTGACAGGAACAGGGTGGTTTACAATTTAATGTCTTAAATCCTGCTTTCCTGTATATAAGACCACTTCTCATGCCACGGGAGTTTTCTTCTTCAGTAAGCTTTAAAAGTCCACTTTACGGTTTAGCTACCTTCTGTAGGACTACACCCGACGTGGAGTGAACAGAGCAGGGGGCTGGCTCTGAGATGCTGCCACTCACCTGACAGTGGTCCCTGAGACACCTGCAGGCCGCTGAGCCAGAAAGTGAGGGAACGAGGGGGAAGGGAGGAGACGCTGAGACAAACGGCGAGAGAAGCCACGGATCCGAAAGGAGAGAAGGAAGGTGTGTGAAGAGTCCATGTGGGGTGGTCTCCCACAGCCTCTAGTTACTGAGAGGAAGGTCATAAAATGCCCGCTTCCCAGAATCCCTCCCAGCAACAAGACAGGCCGGGGAGGGAGAGCAGGCATGCGGTGAGCCCGCCGGGCCAGGCCCCGAGCCACCTGAGGGCGCGCGGGCACAAGGTGCTGAGCACATCACAAGGACGCCCGGTGCAGGGGCTCCGTGGGACCCACACCCAGTACGTCAGGCCGCACGGCACAGGGCTGTGTCTACTCGGAGGTGTCGCTGTCTTCACATAAGGTGATTGATAGGTAAGCTGAGTCCCGTCTTTCCATTCTGGAAACATACTTTGCATGTTCCAATTAGCTGTAAAGTTTCACCCAGTGGCAAAGAGAAAGCCACAGGTGTACAGAAAATGCCACATACAGAATCCACACAGCAGCCCTCCAGTGAACAGGCAGTGACCTCTGGCAGCGCCATGCCCTGCCTGGGCCCCAGCCCCACAGCTGGAGGGCACAGTGCCGCCTCCTAAACGCCCCAGCTCTCTCCGCACCCTTCCCTGCCTGACCCAGGCAGAAACCTCACCCAGGCTTCCCGCCGGGATACTGTCTTAATAGGGATCCAGGAGAGGTGGAGCTGACCACTTCACTACCCAGTGAGGAGGCTTGGTCCGACCCAGGGAGCCACCTCTCTGCACGTGAGTCTCACAGGGGCGACTGGAAGGGGTGAGGAGTCCAGCGGACAGAACTGTATGGGGCCTAAAGGCAGAGGGAGACACAGGAAGCCTCACGATGCCAGGCCTTAGTGGAACTTCATGATCTTCAGGTGGTTTTCACACTTGTTTCTGAGCAATGGGGTCCGTTATTCATCAGAATGTGATACAAAAACACGGAAGCATGGAGGCTGGGAGCAGAGGACAAGAGTCTGCCCATGGCTTCCTTACGTCATTGGAGGCTCCAAGGGCTCATGGGACGCAGTCAACCCGTGATCCAGTCTAATCGGCTCAGTTTACAGGTGAGGGACTGAAGCCCAGAGAGGTTAAGTATTTTCCTCACAATCAAATGCCTATGAATAGACATTTGCATCCACCTTGGCCCTCCAATGAGTATGGACGTCAGGAATGGTTGGGTCCAGAAACCCGGGACATCACACCCCCCACACACTTGTCCCAGGACCACACTTCACCACCCGAGATAAAGGATTCACGGCCCAAGTTTGAGCCTAAATGCAACGTAAGTGTTGCTGCCAGGAAAATAAACCTTTGAACCACCATCTCAACAAGCAGAGAGGGAAATCTGGCCAAATATGCAGAAATTGTTGTTCTCTATTAAAGAGAGAGAGAGAGAAGTAACATCAGCAGAGTTGAAATCTCAACTCTGTGCAAAGGGGACTGGCCTCCTTCGATGCACAGATGTTTGGGTCACACTCAAAATATGAGAACTGCCTGTTCCCGCCAGCCCCCGAGACTCCGCCTCACCCTGCGACCTTGGCAGCCTCCTCCGAGCGGCAAGACGAGCAAACAGAATGCATGCGAGGGTTCAGTGCACAGCAAGGAAAGGCGAGGAGATAGGTCGGTGAGGCAGGAAAAGAGAAATGGCCTTAAATTGGGAAGAAACGGTGAATTCAGACGGCCCATTCAGCATGCTGTCCTCTGGACTGGAAACACCCAAGAATCTTTGAACTTAAAATTCTTGGAACCAACAGTTCAAAGTGAAGTAGCAGGAAAAAGTGGAAAAATTCAAACAATCCGTTTCTTTGTGGATGACCCATCAGCATCAACCTAAAGCATAACTAACTAGCCTCAGCTCACTGACTTAGATAAGACTAAGAAGTTACGTTACTGCTTGTGGCTTATAACATGGAGACCCCAAAGTAGAATGGCCCCAAATGGAATTTTAGATGTAAATCAGGAAGAATTCAATCCAAGGCAGGTAATAACACAAGTGTGGATATAAGGTGGTCCCTCCACATGAATCCCAAGGCCACTAATTTAAGGGAAAACAAGTCTAATTGTTTTAATAGCTGTTAAAAGAATAATAAAAAGAATTAATACAATTAATTCTATACCTAGCACCTCCTCACCTTACCCAGCCACGCTTTACCCAAGGTTGTAGGAATGAATTACCCTGGACTACATTATTTAAAGGTTTAAAATCAAAAGTTAATATTCCCTGCTCAGTAAAGTTTTGGAATTTTCACTGCAGATAAATGTAAAACAACCCAACCTTCATATTGTAGATAAACATGAAGGGAAAATAGCAGTAACTATCCAAGTAATTCAGTGCCATGAGGTGTTGAGAAAAAGTGGGGAGGGTTAAAAGGACTCAGATTGTCTTAGTTAAGCATCTGTGTTGCAAGTTGCAAGTAAAATATTCTAAACAAACGCGCTTCAGTAAGAAGGGAGAGTTAATTATAGGAACACACTCAAGACAGGAACAAAGGCCTAGAAAACAGAGACAGCTAATCTCCTACCTTCTCTTTGTCCCTTGGTTCTACGTCTGTGTACACATCTACTTTCTCCCCTGTCTCTGCACACAGCAGGGAGATAAGTCCGGGGGCGCAACAAAAACTCAGGGATGATTCAGAAATCAAGAATCAGTTTTCTGGTTTCTAGAGGCATTAGTCTCATTTTAGTTTTTTTCTTTTATAGGCAATTTAGTTTAACAGAATAATAGAACACTTGATTAGGACTCTAAAAACACAGAAATATTCTTCTTCTACTTCTTTTTCCTGCTATCAAAATTTATCTCTCGTTTTGAAATCACAGAATAGGTAGAAGCATCACCTTAGCGAGGCAACACTTGCCCCTGGATGAAGCCTTCCACCCCAGCGCTCAGCAACCTTTCTAAGGTGGGTATGTGTGGTGTCAGTACAGTCGGAGGGCAAAGCTCTCACAGCTGTTAGGTTGTGCCCTTGATTTAGTCTGTCTGACTGCCTCGTGCCCTGACCTTTGAGGCCTGTTGGCTCACTGAGGTCTTGGCTATTGACCTCTGACTGACTGCAGTCTCAAGCTCTGCTTTCTGGCTTCCCAGCCTGCGTGCTCCTTGATCCCAGTTTTTAAATACGTTTCCCAACCTCTAACCTGTCACAGTCCATCTCAGGCATGGCTCCTGCATTTTCAGATTTCCTGTCTTAATGGTCTTCCCTGAGGGCTGCCGTCTGATGAGTCTCGCTGTCTAGCATGACAGAAATGTCCTTTAGCAAATCTGTTCAACTGAATGTGCTTCCTACTTCTCTGTTAAAAAGTACAGGTGGTGCACTGATACTTCAACTAATGACAAACACATATTCTAATAACCCTTCTTAAATAGTGTCAGAGACTTTGTAACTGGATTGAAATAATGTTAGAGCAATAGAATTTGCATTTCTACTTTTAAAAAAATTATACAAAAACCTTTAAATAAGGTCCAGAGGATGGCAGCATTATCTTTTAATGGCATGTTTGAGGCCCATCCCCAAATTATTGAATGTCCTATTACTCACTTTGAATTTATTATTAATTGGTGCCCAGCCATTTTCACAAATGATTTCTATCTGGTAGAACATTACACAGTGGTTTATTACCTTGTGGGACATTAATCGGTTTTGGGTCAAACTAGCAATCTTATTCTAATATTCCTTTTTGTTTTTCAAGTTGCCTATAGTTCTTCAAAGTGTCTTTTTGAAACAATTTTATGTTCTACTGGTGTCTTCATTAATTTATGAGTTGAATACATTTTGCACATTTTAAAAAAAGAATCAGAAATAGTTTTGTAAGAACAGAAAGTAATACGAAGCTTACAACAGGAGAGGTGATGGTCTCACCAGCGAGAATAGTAACAGCACTGATTCCTGGACATGGAACTCCCCAGGGAGGTGGAGGAAAGGGACAACGTCGGATTCAGCTTTGCAGATTGCTCCCCAACTCCAGAACCCAGCACCCTCCACCTCAGCCAGGACAGTTACCTGGACTGACACCTCCCCACAGGCGCCAACGTACAGCACACGAGTAAAGACTGAAAATCTCAGACCTACAGAACTTACCCACGCACGTTCCCGCCTCCGAAAACCGATAGCCCTGCACACACTCGCAGCGGAAGGTCCCCGGGTGGTTATTGCAGATGGCGTGGCTCCCACAGGCCGAGGGCTGCTCTGAGCACTCATCGATATCTAAGCGAATTTTTAAAAAGGAAGACTTGTTTTAAACCTTTCACACAGCACTACACAGAATAAAAGAGGAAGCACCTTTGCTTGGGAGTGGACCTAAACCCAGGCAAAAACCCAGCCGGAATGGGAGTCAGCTTTTGGAAAACACACTGCGAAGGCTGTTTCTGTGAAACGCTTCAGACACGAGCTCTCAGACAAGGCGGCTCGGGCACAGCTGGAAGGTTGGGGACAGCTCCTGCCAAGGTGGCCGCTCCCACCAGCAGGAGCGGCAGGGAGCTGGGGGTCAGCGAGCGCACCTCCAGCTCATCCGCCAGCGGCTGTGCCACCAGCATGGGAGGAGAAGGCTGTCCGGCTCCCACTGCCCCCGCCCCACGGCTCACAGGACACTCCGGCACAGATGCCTGGACGCAGTGTGCAAATGGCAGGCCCCAGGCTTCCCCATGCCTGCCCAAGCACACTGACAGTGCACGCTTCAACCCAAGCGACAGAACATCACCACGGGAGCTTTTCCAAGCTCCATCCTCCCCGGGAAGCTTTGTGGTGATCAGGAGGGCACGAGGCCCTCCAGCCTGCCTGGAGAACCCCCGGCAGACAGGTGTGGGGACCGCGGCTGATGGTCCCCAACGCAACCTCCCCCGCCATGCAGGTCTGCACGCGCGATGAGAGCTGGCACCAGCTTCCCCACCAACATCTCACGGTCCTTGCAGTTTGGAAATTCTCCTTCGTGTCTAACTTAAACCCTCTCTTTTCTAAACTGAGGCCAGGACTTTAATCCTTTCTTCAGCGAAACAGCGACAACTGTCCCTCATAAATAACATCACACTCTCTGCTTGAAATGATTGTTATTATTCAGTATCTGGTCAATCACCTCTCTGGGAAGAGATTGTCTTTCACACAAATCATTCTCTAACCCAACAGGAAAACCCTAGATGATTCTTGTTTAATTACTGCTCCCTTTTTGACTTTTTCAGAGTGGCTACTTTTCACGTATTTTCAACCCCACTAAGTTTCCCCCAGGTTGTCCCTTTCATAAACTGAGAGGAGTTTGTTAAATACTTGTTAAATACGGTGACTGATTTGTTAAATACTTGTCATTCTCAAAATTACTCCATCAGCGATTATTCAAAACTATCTTTACAGAGACACGGTTGAGAAATATTTGGAAGCCATTCTGCCGAGCGCAGAGCTCTGTGATTGGACTGGAAATCTCCGAGTTACCGTGGAGGGTCACTGGGCAGTGTCTGACCAGCACCAGCCACGTGGATGTCATCTCTCATCACATCAGTCCTACATACGCTGAATTACAAAGGCTCACCCTCACCCTCCCCTCAGGCCCTCTCCAGGCCAAAATAATACATGAAGTGATCTGCTTAATGCAATTTCCTATCAACAGCCTAGTGTCTCCGTGTATTAACCCTTGGAGGCTCGTTCTAGTGACCCAGAACAAAGGTGGGCTGACGGGGAGTATACCCACATTCTTCGGTGCTAATCTGCCAGAACGAGGACTAACCACGGGACAAAAGCAAGTCCGCACAGGGCCAGCTGTCCTCCCGGGCAAGGACATCAGAGGGTTTTCTCTGACAGGCAGATCGCATCAAGCACGGCGGTCACGCAGGCAGGACTGGTCGAAGCAAGTGCTCCCACGCCGGCCAGCTCAGGCGCGGGGAGCGGGATCGGCAGCGGCTGGGGCTCGGCAGCAGCAGGTGGGGTTCTCCGTGCTTTACTAGTATCCGGTTGGCTTATGCAGTTGAAGCAGGGATTCATAAAGACTGGAGAAATGAGGGCGCCCCACCCTGCATGGTGCCCATCCCCATCCTCTCAGCCCTGGGAGGGTTCTGCTCTCACAACCACAGAATCATTCTGCTTCAAACTGCCCTGAGTCAATTCAACCTTTCAAGACTGTCAGGCTCTTCTGGGAGTATTGGGGAACTCTGATCTGAGGGAGTAGGAACTATATCCCCTCCCCCGTGGTATGTTACAAGGAAGAGAGTCTCAGGTGAATTCTCCTACCTGTACGAAGTTATCAGTAAGCTGGCTAACCAACTGTACAACCTGTTCCTGTTTCACTCTGATGCAAACACCAGAACACCTGAGACGGCAGGTCTTCTAACCTTCACGTTAAATCAGCACGCTGTCTGCAATTAATTGGAAGTATGGGGTTCCAGACCTAAGGCATTGCTCCCAAATTCCAAGGCTGCTGGGCTCCCAGATTCTTATGCTCCAGTCATTCACGGGGACTGCTCAGGTCTGGCCAAATACACATGTGCACCCCTCATTTCACTGGGGAAACTCACTCCCAGCATCTCACGTTCATTACTGAGCCCTCTGGTGCAGAATGAGGTAGAACAGCTCAAAGCACCTGACATTCTCACACTAGTTGGCTCTAGTGTTCAGACTCAATGCTCCGCCTTGGTAGCAGATTACAATTTAACCACAAATACGTAAACATCAGGCTGTCTGCGTGAAAGTATCTGAAATTAAATTATATGTGATAAAATAACTTCAATGAGAAGACAGCAGGATATACACACTGGAGTCAGACTCGAGTGGCAGGCTCACTTGAACGGGCTTCAGTTGCCCATCTATAAAGAGGGATGGATTTCCCACCCTGTAGGATGGCCACTATAAAAGCAAACAGAAAATAAGTGTTGCTGAGGATGTGGAGAAATGTGCAGCCCTTGCACACCTGCTGATGGGAATGAAAAATGGTGCAGCCACCATGGAGAACAGGATGGTGGTTCCTCAAAAAATCAAGCAGTTACCCCATGATGCAGCAACCCCACTTCCAGCATAAACCCAGACGTGCACAAGCCACGCTCCCAGCAGCGTTACGCACGACAGCCAGAGAATCGAAGCAGGTGCGTGTCCACTGGCACATGAGTGGGTTTAAGAATGCAGTACACGCACACGATGGAATACTACTCAGCCCTAAAAAATGAGTGAAGTTCTGCCACGTGCTACAACATAGAGGAACCTTGCGAACGCTATGCTGAGTGAAACAGTAGTCCAAAAGGACCATCACGATATGATTCCAAATTCACAGCAAGTAGAATGCGGGTGGTGGGGGCTGGGGGCAGGGGGACGGGAAGTTGTTTAATGGGAACAGAGCTTCCGTTTGCAAACGAAGAGGTTTTAGAGCTGGATGGTGGTGATGGCTGCACCACGTGAATGTACTCAATGCCACTGAACTGTACACCTAAAGTAGTGAGATGGTACATTTTATATCATGTGTATTTCACCACAATTAAAAATAATTTGAAATGAGACTCATCAGTTGCTGGATTAAACGAGAGGCTATCTGTGGAGCGCTCACACCACGTGCCCGGCGAGTATTCCGAGTGTTGCCAACGGTGCTGCCTTCAGTTTCCCCTCCACCCGCGTGGGGTGCGGCCTTACACATGAGTGGGTTTAAGAATGCAGTCACTTCTGCACAGCAAAAGAAACAATCATCAAAATGGAAAGGCAACCCACTGTATGGGAGAACATCATTGCCAATGATGTATCAGATAAGGGGTTAATTTCCATAATATATAGAGTGCTCATACAGCTCAACAAAAGGAAGACAAAGAACCCAATTAAAAATGGGCAGAGGAGCTGAATAGACACCTCTCCAAACAGGACATACAAATGGCCAAGAGACATATGAAGAAATGCTCAACATCACTAATCATCAGAGAGATGCAAATTAAAACAATAATGAGGTATCACCTCATACCTGTCAGAATGGCCGCCATCAACAAATCATTAAACAACAAGTGTTGGTGAGGGTGTGGAGAAAAGGGGACTCTAATACACTGCTGGTGGGAATGCAGACTGGTGCAGCCACTATGGAAAACAATATGGTGTTACCTCAAAAAATTAAAAATTGAACTTCCATTTGACCCAGTGATCCCACTTCTAGGAATATACCCTATGAAGCCTGAAACACCAATCAGGAAGAAAATATGTACCCCCATGTTCATAGCAGCACTATTTACAATAGCTAAGATCTGGAAACAGCCCAAGTGTCCATCAGTAGACGAATGGATAAAAAAGCTGTGGTACATATACACAATGGAGTACTATGCAGCGGTAAGAGAGAAAGATCTCTTATCCTTTGAGACGACATGGAGGGACCTGGAAAGTATTATCCTAAGTGAAATAAGCCAAGCAGAAAGAGACAACTACCACATGATCTCACTTATATATGGAATATAATGAACATAACAGTCTGAGGAATACGGTAGACCCAGAAACATGGAAGTAGGGCACAGACTGACATCCCTCAGAAGAGGGGGTGGGGGGGTGGGAAGAGATAAACCACGGAACTTATATGCATGTGTGCATGACCAATGGACATGGACAATTAAGCCAGGGACGGGGCGGGGGTGGAGTGGGGAAGGGGGTGCCAATGGGGTAAAAAAGGTGAAATATCTGTAACAAAAAAATAAATAAATAATTAAAAATAAAAATTAAAAATAAAAAATAAAGAATGCAGTCACGCCTTACATATTCCGGTTGTGCTTCAGTCAGTCATCTGACCAGCAGAAAGAAGGGCAGTGCCCCAACATTCTGGGGTGCAGCTCAGGAGCCTCACCCCCTCCCTCACACCCTGGAGGGCAGGATGCCGACACCTCCCGCGGTCCCCCGCCGCCCCCGCCGGCCTGCCCTGAGGCGGTACCATGGCAGGTGCGTCCGTCTCCTCGGAAGCCGATGGAGCACTCGCAGGTGAACTGGTTCCCGGGGCCGGGCCGGCAGGCCGCGTTGGTGTCGCACCCGTGAGTGCCGATGTAGCAGGGGTTCTGCAGGGCGTCCGGGGAGCCTTCTGCGAGGGCAGAAACATTGACCAGGTGAGTCCAGGTGAGCCCTCAGAAACCCTCCCGGACAGGGGAGCATCTCCCCTGCCAGCACCCCCCACAAAACTGATTGGCAGGAAGGCGATTTTGCCGTAAAAAAGACAAAACCACGACAGGTAAGGGGCACTGAGGACATCATAACATTAAAAAGCCCTGCTGGGAAATACAAACTGCGCGAATACTAAAACACGCCTGGGTTCGGATGGCAGTCTGAGGACAGCACCTGAGCGCGGATGGCTCCTTGGGGCTCCTGCCTCCCTCCTGCTGCCCAGACACTGTTTTGAAACAAGAGACCAGCAAAATCTGGGGCAAAAGTCGTGTCATCTGGAAGACGTGCTAACTGTTTTCCCTCCCACTGAAAACCACGGTGGACGGGAACAAGAGAGGCCTTGACCTGCCCCGGAGCCTGCACGGCCTCAGCGCCGCTCCTCCTAGGCCTCTGCTTTCCGACGCAGGAACCCGGTGGTCCCCTCTTCTCACGACAGGGCTCCGGACAGCGACAGGGGTGCAGTGACAACGTGAGGCCAAAACCCCAGGCAGGAGGCAGACTCCTCCGGGGGGCAGACCGATCCCTCGCCCACGCCTGCTCGTGAATCACGTTTCAGTGGGAACGGCCGGACCCACTGGCTGCACTCGACACTGGATGGCTGGCAATGTCTACAGCAGTTACTATCTGCCATTTAGCAAAAAGGTGCCAGCCCTGAGGTCTGAGGCCACAGCTGTCAGAGGAGAGGGAAGACAGCTGCTCTCCTGCTCCGCGGAACCAGACAAGGACAGACCTGATCAGCTGGAGAAGTGGCCTGGCTGTGGCCGGAGAACCAAGTAACTGAAAAGAGAGACCTTCTGGACCCACTATGCAGAACCTCTGGACCTGAAGACTGGGACCATATGGAATGGTAGCTCCCCAAATGCCAGCTCCTTCCACGCAGCCAGACGCGCCCACGGTGTGCAGCACAGGGCAGTGTGGCGTGGGCTGCGTGACTCCTTACATCGAGGTGTATTTCGATTTCCTTGGGCCCTGAGCACACACTCCTTTCGGATTTGGGTATTAGAGTGTCTTAAAAGCCCAGCCAAAGCCAGCTGCGGCCTTGGCCGGCCCTCTGTACAGAACCTCACAGGTGAGCACCCTTCACTCCACCCCAGACAGAATAATGAGGGGGCCTTAGGTCAGCCAACAGACGGGTAGGCTTTCTAAGAATCACAGATAAGACAGTTTTTCCCTGTTGGGATATTTTCACATAATTTCCTCTTACTGAGAGTAAGACAAAGAACAATAGGTCACAGAGCACAGAGCTGTGCCCGCACCCGATGCCCAGCCTGGGCGGCCGTGTCTCACCCCGCACAGGCCCGATGGAGTTGCTCAGAGCATAGCGCAAGATCCTCTCCTCCTGGTTGTACAGGACAAACACGCTGTCCACCGAGAGCTGCTGGGTGCTGGGCAGGGCCAGCCTGGAGCTGTCATGGACACAGTCCTGGAAGGTGATGGTCTGGCGCCACTGGTAAGTGTAGATGCTCGAAGGGGCAGCACCATCCCGCTCAGGCTCTGTCACGGTGTACTCCCGCGTGGAGGAGGATGTGATCACTGGGTGTAGGAGGGACACAAGGCGGGAGACAAAGGAGAGAGTGTAAGGACACAGGAGGCTCCGAGCCATCAGCAGTACCCCTGGCTCAGTGCGTCCAGAGGAGACAGCAGGTGGAGCAGGTAAATAAGACCATTTATTTCTACATGGACACTTCTGCTACCTAGATTTCCCATACCATTACTGGTATTATTTGCATCAGTAATATTTGTTGGTTTTTCCCATCAAGTGCTTCTTTAAGTCCCTAAGCTGCCCAGAACCAACCTGAAGATTAAGGTTGAGTGGAAAGAGCATGCACTTGGAAGGAGATAGCACTGAACCCACACCTTGCACCGTCACTCATAACCTGTGTGATCCCAGGCCAGTCACTAACTTCTTTAGCCTGAGGTGAGCATGAGACAATGTACATAGAGCTCCTGAAAATGAGCAGGTGAATACTATAAAGATCAACGGCCCCTTACAGAGCATTTGCCTGTGACTGGCACAGGGCTAACTGTTTCATACAAATGATCTCCCCTAGGATTCAAGAAATCGCGGTTGCTATGTGTAACCCTAGATCAAGCAGTTCATTGATATTTAAAAAATAAGGCATTAAGTGGATTTCAGTAGCCAATATCTGACAAAGTACTAAGTGCCGGGAGCAAACCTCAACAGAGAAGAGAGACAGTGTGTCCCACTCCGAAGAGAGCTGCTTTCCACCCCTACCGTGAAACTCTCAACTTCCTCTTTAAAAAAAAAAAAAGTATAAAAGTATGAAAGACCCTTTATATTTGTGTGCTCTGCTGCAGTTCAAAATAAAGCCAGAGGATAAATAAAAGATTAGTGGAAGCGCCTCTCGTCCAGCTCCCAGGCGCTGGGCTGCCAGAAGCACCATCTGACTGCAGGGCGGCCGCCGCCTGGGGCCCTCTGCTCGTCCACCTCCCGGTCACCGCCCCAGGAGAGCCCCTCAGGCACAGAGCCTTGGTAATTGGTACATTCTTTCCGGATGGCAATTTAGTAAGAGCTTTAGAAAAGGTTTTATTGTTTGACTCAGCACTTCTATTTCTAGGAACTGAGTCTCAGAAAAGAATCAGAAATTTGGTCAAGATTTATGATAAAGATGGTCATTTCAACTCATGAGACAGGAAAATGAGAAATAACCAAGCTTTAGAAAATAGGATGGTTTGAATTAGTAGTCATACAATAGAATCATGTAGATTCATTAATGTGTTTTCAAAGCCTACTTAATAAAACCATAAAATATTCTTCATTTGACATTAACTAGAAAAGTGAAGATATAATAATTTGGTATGACTATAATTTTATTTAAATAAAGAGTATATATCTGATTTGTAGATTATATAGTAGTATTGCATTAATGTTAAACTTCCTCATTTTGATCATTGTATTGTGACCATGTAAGAGAATGTTCCTCTTCTTAGGAAAACACATGAAGTTGTAGGGGATAAAGGGTCACAGATGACGCTGGGTAAGTGGTATGTGAAAATTGTACTGTTTTCAATTTTTCTGTAAATTTGACATTATTTAAAAATAGTTAAAAACTACATATAGGTGTATAGCATAATAAAATTATGTTATTGTATTTTGAAATTATAATATGTTGAAATATTTATGTTGGCCTATTATATACATGTTGGGATATATATGTTGGGATGTTTTATACATATACTAGGGGAAAGGCTGAAATAAAATACATTTAAATTTAATAAGAGTTATGTCCTGGTTTTGTGACTCAGAGTTACGCTATTTTCTTTCTGTGCTAAATTCTCTGGCGTGAGGGTGTACCCTGTCTGCCATCAGGGGAGAGGCGATGTTCCTAAGGCGTCGCCGTGTTTCCCTCTGAGCAGGATGAGCGGCTGGGCTGTCGGTGTGGCGCCAGGCCGTGCCCTCACCGTCGCGGGAGTAGTGGTACAGCTCCGTGTAGGGCTCGATGTGCACCATGGAGCCCACCGGGATCTGCGGCACGCGGCCCTCCAGCTCCGTGTCGATGGTCAGGTGTCCGTGCTCGTCGATGCCGCTGAACCGCTGCTTGATGACCAGCTTGCCCGGGTGCCCCACGAAGGTCACCTCAGCCTGGCGGGTGAACTCGCCCCCTGAAAGGCAAGGTCATTCTGTCACTTTGCCACCAGGAAAGCCACCTTTGTGCCCGCCCCAGACTCACAGGGCTGGCCACTGAGGGCCGTGGGATCGCACCTGCTCCACAGGTGCTTTGGTTTGGTTGGTGGAAAGGGGCTGGGACACCTGAGGACAGAGCTGATGTCCATGCGGCCAGCTGAGTCATGCAGACAGAGAAGCTGCTTCCCAGCCGCAAACAGCATCCGAGATGCCGTGGCTCAGGGGTTGTGCTGAAAAAGTAGGAGGCCAGGGTTTGACACCCCACTGTGCTAGGTACTGGTTGGGTGAACAGAACTCACTGAGCCTCCAGGTCCTGATGATAAAAAGGGACACGATCTATCTTGGGGAAACGAGATCAACGACATGTGTCGGACAGTGCCCTGCCAGGTGTCGAGAGCTCCCAGGCATCAGCTAAGTCCCGGTCAGGATGGGTGCTTCTCGGGACAAGCCAGCAGCAGCACCAGAAGCCACTGCAGGAGCACACACTGGGGCGCTGGCTCAGACCGGTCCTGGGTCTGTGCAGGGCAGCAGCTCCAGACAGGCAGGAGACGCACACCCCCTTCTCCATTGAGGCAGGGGCTGGCCCAGGGCTAAGTCCGGCTGGCAACCCTTAAGCTAAGAATGGTCTTTACATGTGTAAATGTTTTTTAAGTCAAAAGAATAATATTGTATTAAATGTAAAAATTACATGACATTTAAATTTCAGTGCCCATTAACACAGTTTTATGGGAACACCATCACGCTCATTCCCTTGCAAATTATCTATGGTTGCTCTCGCTCAAAAATGACAGAGTTGAGTAGTTGCAACAGAGACGGTAGAGCCTAAAATATTTAGGCAAAGCTTATCTGGCCCTTAGCAGAAAAAGTCGAACAGTCCTGCTTTCTAGCACCCATCCCCCCACTGATGACACAGGTCCTGGGGAAAAGAAGACAAAGATTTGCTGTTGTGGAGAGTTTGCCAAGACTCCCGAGCCCTGCTGAGGTGGGTGCATGTTACAAAGCATCACCCAGGGGAGTAGGGTCTGTGGGTCTGACGATAAAGCTCAACTATGTCTACAAGAGAAAGAGCATGAATGTGGTTCTAATACTCAGGATGTATATATGCTTGAGGAACAGGGAGAAAAAACATCACGCCACAAATTAGATACCTGATGGGGAGGTTTACTCCTTTTCAAATATACAGCCTCTCCTTTCTTCAAATGGCCACACTTCAGGAAGTTGGCATCGGAGCCTAGAGACACTGCTTTCAGCAGTATTTCCACAATTGAGCAGTGGCTGAGGCTCCAGGGAGGCTGGGCGGTGGGGAGGGGGCAGGGCTGGACAGTTGGGGGCTGCAGCAATGTATCTGTGCCCCAGACAACAGGCTTCGGGTCTTGGAAGTGGCCAGAGATGAAGGACAAAGGCTCCTCTACCCGAGCTGTTCCCAGGAAAGAGCCTCTGGAACGCACAGGTGGGCAGAGCTGGGAGAGGCCACCACTGCACTGGGGGAATGTCCCCACAACCACCTGCCCTCGCGAGTCTGCTAAAGACTGCGCTTTCTCCGACAGGCCGTCTCTAAGGAGCTCCAAGGAGACCGAGGTCTAAGACTCACGAGGACTGCGTTTACCAGCTAGAAATGACAGGTTCCTGTCCTCCGAGCAGGTATGAGGAAATGTCAAACGCCCGTTTCGGAGCAGTGTGTGATGTGGAGGCAGCTGGGCAAGCAGGACGAGGACCTGTGAGCCCCACACTGGGGTTGTGAGGCTATGGGACAGCATCACCTGCTCTGCTGGAGACTTCCGAATCCCTGGTCCAGACGTAACTCCAGACAGTCTTAGTTAATATATATTAATGAAAAAACAGAATCTTACCACAGCATCTCATTCCCAGAGCCACAAAATACTTATCAGTAAGTTGTTTGCAGACGCGGAGTTCCCTTTCTGTTCATCCCCAGGCCCCTTGTGCCCACTGATTTCGATGTGTGATGACTGTACCTGTGATGCTGAACCCATTCCTGAATCCGTCTTGCTCCACTGCGAACATCCATCCGATGATGCCCCCAACAGGGGCCAGGGGAAGCAGGGAATAGCCCACGGTCTCCGGGATGGTGCTGATGGCCGTGTAGGAGCGCCCGTGGTTCATGACCACGTAGGAGTGCAGGTCAGTGTTCTCAAACACGACGGGGACAGGGCTGCTCCCCACAAAGATCTTCCCCTTCACCTTGCCATTAACTCGCTGTGGGGAACCTGGGCGAGAAACAAAGGGAGAAGCCAGCCTTTCACTCAAAAATACGTCTGGGAGGACCTGTACCTGTAAAGCAAAGTGGCGAACAGCACTGGGGTCAAGGGCTTTGGGGTCAGCGAAAGTCCTTGCTCCTCCCACGAAGACAATGCCCATGCCCGTGTCTGTGAGCCTGAGAAACTCGGGGGCCCAGCCTCTGTCTCCCAGGCTGACTGACAGGCAGCAGGACAGACTCCCATGGGAGCTGCATGTGACAGGAACTTCAGAAGGACAGTATCACGGGTGATCTAGAATTAGGTGACCATAAACCGATCACTTTTGAGAGTATGAGGAACAGAATTAGTAATTTCACTGGAACAGAAGGGTTGAAATGGACGGTCCTGGGAACCTTTGGGTGCCGGACCTACAGCATCTTAACAAGCATCTCTGGCTACATCCCAGGTGAGAACTGCCAGTCTGAGTCCTGGAGCTGCCTGCAGCCCAAGCTGGCACACGTGGCGCGGCGGACAGAACAGCGCGGGCGCACACCCACCCTCTGGCCCAGGACCCGCTGTGAGCGGGGATGTGTGTTGACTATTCCATTCTGACGACTGGGACAGACGTGAGACCTACTGTGGCAAATGTAAAAACTTTCTTCATAAGTTGCCAAATCGGATATGCAGGATATTGTTTTTGTTTTACAAGTTACATTAGCAAAAATGTTGGCATTTCCTTCCCTAGGGGGAAATATCTGAAGAGATGTACACAAAACTGCTCAGTGGTCAACTCGGGGTGGTATGGCTGACTTTCATTACCCCCCTCACACAGAAGAGTTTGCTCTTTAAGAACAAGATTTCACTGTGGATCTTCAGCGATTTCACTCCTAGTGTATACCCAAGTGGATAGAAAACATGTCCACACAGAGATGTGCACACGAACGTTCCCAGCCACATTATTCCTAAGAGCCAAAACAGGAGAGATGTCCGTTGATGGGTGAATGGAAACAAAGTGTGGTCTGTCTACCCAATGGGATACGATTTGGCTAGAAAAAGCAACATGCACCGATCGATGCTACAACATGCATGGACCTTGAAAACGTGATGCGGAGTGAAAGAAGCTGAACACAAAAGGTCACATGTCATATGATTCCATTCATATGAAATGTCCAGAACAGGAAAACCCATATTGACAGAAAGCTGCCAGGGACGGGGGGCTGGGGGAACCAGGAGTGACTGTTAATGGATACAGAGTTCTTTCTGGAGGGATGGAGATGTTCTCAAGCTAGGCATTGGTGACAGTTGTACAACTTGGTGAATATACTAAAAACTACCAAATTGTCTACTTTAAACAAGTCTGTTAATTATATCTTTAAAAACAACGAAGAGGGCCCTGGCCGGTTTGGCTCAGCGGTTAGAGCGTCGGCCTGTGGTCCGGAGAGACCCGGGTTCGGTTCCCGCTAAGGGCACGTACCTCGGTTGCAGTTTGTCCCCGCCCTGGTTGGTCGTGTGGGTGGCAGCCACTCGATGTGTCCCTTCACGTCGATGTTTCTCTCTCTCTCTCTTCCTCTCTCTCCCTCCTGCTCTGTCTGAACAAAAAATGCAAAAATGTCCTCGGGTGAGGATTTAAAAAATAAATAAATAAAAAAAATAAAAAAACAACGAAGAGGTAAATCAGTCACCTCGGATGGTTCAGGTTTGATGTAAATTAAATTCCATCAGTCGTTGACTGTACATGTCTAGTCTTCACCCGAGATTAGGAATTACTAGGCACAGGGCTTGCACACCCAACTCCCTCACTTGACCTCTGCAGTTTTCTGTGCGAAGTGAGTCCTCAGTGAGGACAGACAGACAGCTTGCACCTGGCCCTCGACACCCTCGGGCTGAAGGCCTTTAGCTTGTTCGGTGTCCGAGCTGCCGACGGAGCTGACAAGCATTTCTGCACAGACTGACACGGCACCGGGCATGCTGTGACCTTGGAAGACTAACCTGAAAAAATGCATCCCCAGAACAGCACAGCAGCAAGCAGGAAAACCAAGGTAAGGAAACCATTTTTTTTTTTTTTAACCAAACTTTGAGCTGCTAGAAAAATGTATCAAAAGTAGCAAGAATCCAACAAATATTTAAACCATGAGACTCTTACAGGGCGTGTATACAATGTTAAAACGTGGGGCCGGGTGGCTTGTCTTGGCTGAGCTTGCGGCCAAGCACACTGCTCAGCACTCCCAGCTCTGACACTTGGCGTGAGAAGAGCCACTGGGACTGCTGGCTGTGCATTCTGGAACCTCCCCCCAGGGTATAAAAGCCAAGCTTGAAACAGCTCAGGCACACCAACCCTGGTGGTGCAATTGAAAAAACAGAAAACACATTTATAGAAGTTAAAAACATCTCCCCAAATTAACGTAAGTATGCACAATTTTCTTTCATTACCAAAGTTAGTATTTAACAAAACTCACTTTATCTAATTGTGACCCAGAAGGAATTATTGCTTTAGCAAATTAAAAAACTGATTTAACTATAGCTGTGGCAGGGGATCTGAAAAACGGAACAATTCTTCCAAGTCTTAGTCAAATTTTGGGAAGCAATTTAGTTTCCTCGCTGAACACAAGGAAAATGGCCAGTGACAAGTGAGGTAATTTGGCATCTAAAGGGACAAATGCTCAGTATGGTGGGGGTTTGCTGCTTTTGTTTTCCTTGGAGCTTCGGGCCCAGGCTCCGCGAGGGCTCACTGGGGACAGACTGTGTCTGGACCCTCCGGTCTTCCAGGACCGTCTGAGAGCAGCTGCCTGGTCCTCTTGGGAGCAGAGCTCAGAAGTGACATCAGCCACAGCTGGATCCAATTTGGAGTCTGCCCACAATGGGCTTGGCACTCTAGAATGAGCTGTGGTCACCCCGCATGCTCCCCATCACCAGGGGCACGAGAAGGGGCAACTCACAGGGCGGGCGGAACAGACCTCGCCCACTCCCTGCTTGGGCCCCGCCAGCTCACCGTGGCCCTGCGGGGTTTAACCCCCACCCGGCAGCCAGGTCTGTGGGCAGTGCCAACTCAGCTTAGAGAGAAGCGGAGGAAGATGAGAGGCATCTACAATTCCTGGTCCAGGCCGCGTAATATCAACACATCAGCCCCTGTCCCGCGGGCAGCCGGGCCTGGGCTCCCGGTGGCGGTGCTTCGGGCCGGAGAAACAGCACCAGAGAAGGGGCCCCCCCCAACCCCCACCCCCACCCCCACCCCCAGCCCGGCGCCCCAGCAGCGCGAGAACGCGCGGGGGTGGGAGAGGGACCGCGTCGCCCCACGGAGAAACCCGCCACCTCTAGATCTGGGTCAAGGCAACATTGCAAAACAGGCCCCGAACCCGCCCGCCCCATGAGCAGAGCAGACCTTCGGCCACGCACTGCCGGCCGCTCCCGGTGTAGCCGGCCACGCAGCGGCAGCAGAAGCCGGTGGCGAAGTCCCTGCACTCCGCGTGCACCGAACACTGGTGCCTGCTGTTGGCGCACGTCGGGCGGGAATCCGTGTTGTAGCTGAAAACTGCGGAGAAAACAGCACACCTGTGAGCGAGGCGGAGGCTCAGGGCTCGGGGTCAGGGCTCGGGGTCGGGGGCCGCCACCCTGGACACCCCAGCCCCGCAGGGACGGGACTCACTGCCCGGCACTGCTTAAACCGATGGTGGCTCCCACACTCGCGCCGCCAAGGCGGGGCTGGAAACGGGGCAGAAACCACTGGGCGGACGGTCAGCAAGGGCCCTGACCTAACCTACTCGGACCCGCATCGGGCAGGTCAGCCTTCCAGTGTCAGCTTTCCACGTGTCCGTCTGCTGCGGTCAGAAAGATCAGCTTCACATTTTGAAGGGACCTTAAAATATTTTTTTTACTATTTTTTTAATTTGCCATTTAATGACTTTAAGGTAGTTTGAAACTTTTTGCCCCTTCTCCTTGGGGGATAACTCAAAATCTCTTATACTCAAAGCTGATTAGGAATAGTTCCTCAATTCCTTTCACCCAAGAAACAGAAATAATTTCTGCTTATTTCAAATTTCTTCCTCCCAGGTTCAATTTATTAGAATTGGGCACTAACTCATTATACTTAATAAGCCAGAGGAAATTAATTTGGAAGGAAGCTCAAAAGCACAAGAGTGAGTGAACTTCCAGAGCGGATAGTGATCCGATTTATACTTGACTGTTGGGAGTGAAAATAAAAGTAAAGTGTAACCCAGGAAGGTTCCCTTAGTCCCACATGCTCAGGAGTTACCAGTGGGTATAAAGATGGCGTTGGGAGCTGGAGACCCTGGGACCCCAAGCCAAACGAACACCTGACACTGCGGACTGCTTCGCTCCAGCTGCGGGCCCAGCTCCCAGAGGTCCCTGTGGCCTGCATATCTGTGGGTGACTATTCAAATAAAACCAGGAATGTACTGTTGGCCACAGAAGACTGACCTTTCCAATAAAAACAGTGAAATAACAGGATAGATGGACAGAAAAACAACTGTTTTAGACACATGTTGGGTTCAAATCTAGGCTTTTACTAGTACCAAGCAATGCACCACCACATGTTGTTGGGGCCGGATATGATATCATTTCAAAGTGATGGCTTCACCTAGGAGATTTCAGAGACAGCTAAATAGGATGAAAGCTCAAAGCTCAACATCTGCAAGTAAACAGCCCAACACGTCTGGGGAGATCCCTCTGAAGCCCAGCTAGCTGCAAGAGCAGAGTGACATGAGCTAAGCCTGCAGGGGTGAGGAATGTCCGGCCCGTGGGCCGTATAAGGCCCGAGAAATCAATACCAGCTGACATCACACACCTCACCAAATTAGCCTGACCAAATACAGCAGGCTAACTTTTAAGTTGATAATTTTGTATGACCCTCAAATGATGTAAATATCCAAATAGCCCTTGGCAGAAAAAGGTTCCCCTCCCCTGCCTAAAGGATGTCAGCATCACCCCAGGAAACCCAGGGTTCAGTGTGTTGGGGGGCCCTGAGACATGGGCCCATGTCTTTGTCACGCCACTAAAGGGCACCGTCTCCACTTCTGAGCCTCAGAACGAAAGAAGCACACTACTCCCCCCCCCACACACACACACACACACTCTAGATCTTGTCCATGCTTTGGGATACTCCAAGACGAACAAACATGTATGATTATCGTTGGGAGACAAATTAGAACACGTAAGAAGAAATAAAAATGAGAATCTATGTGGAATGGAATAGGTTTTCCTGAGGGCCTTATGTAACTTCGTAGTAGAAACAGTAGGGTCATAATAAATATTATTTAAAGGCTTGGACCATCCCGTTTCTATGAATCTCAATGGATTATAAATCAACCTGTCAACCTGAAGAGCAAAAATTAATGAGCACAATTTAGTCTGAACATCTTTTATAAGATAAATCAAAGCATGCTGGTTTTCCCTCAAAATGTAGCAAAAATCTGATGTAGTATAGTTGACTAGAAGATATACTTTTAAGCTACCTTTAAAAGGGGGACCTACTTATTTTGTATTTTAAAATCTTCACAAACCAACTCTGAAACTTACAGGAGCTGGGAGGAAAAAATAATCAACTCTTCTTGTTCCAAAACCAAGAGGAAATAAGTGTCAAAGAGAAACTGCATCAACAGCCAAAGGAACTTCCAAAATGTTTTTTCAGGTGGGTGAATCTATTTCTGATCTCAGAAATTGCAAATAAGACAATCTGACTTTCAAAATAATTCTAAAACACTTTTCTCCTTAAAACAGACAAAAGGGAATAATAGGAAACTTGAAAGAGGACATTCTCAAGTCTCCATAACCACAGCCCTAATCTCAAAGGATGTCTTGAGCCTTCGAAGGTGCGGGGCCTGTCCACCGATGCTCCACGCTGGGAGCTCCCACCCCTACTTCCCGGCTCTCATCCTCACAACCCAGCACAGAATTCCCACAGTGGACACCCCTCCAGCACTTGTCCTCTGTCCAGAAACCCAAGTGTGCAAGAGTGTACCAACTGCAACTTCAGCAGCCTTACCAACTTCTGTTTCCTCAACTTCATCCACATGTATGACCTGTGGGTGCTGCTGGGAGAACCTGTCCACGGGCAACTGGAAAGACCTGGTCCTCTCGGTGGGAGGCCCGGCGGGTCTGTCGGTGGCCAGGCGGCGGGGGGAGAAGACTCTGTGCGTGCTGTGTGCACCAGCGTCTCCCCTTCTTGGGGCCTCATAGGGGATGGATGTGGTGCCCACATCCTCCGGGCCCAGACTTGTCACCGAGTCATAATCTTCATCATCATACTCTTCGTCATCGTCTGTTCTGAGGTTCACGTCTGAGGACACCACACCACTGGCTGTGGCCGGACTCCCGATCTCAAACACCCAGATGCCCTGCTGCCCAGAGTTGCTGCTCCTGGGGAAAAGGACAGGCTTCTTGGAAACAGGCCCCCACCGCCCACGCAAAAGGAGCCCTGGGGATCTATGTCAATCTGAAACCCAGCTGGGCTGGAAGGAGGAGAGCAGCCAGGGTCATGTACGGTCATCACAGAGCTAAGGCCATCTAGGCCATTCGGCGAGGCTGTAACCAAATGGACACAGACTAGCAAAGGCTCACCCTCCGCCTCTGGGGCGTTGCTCTCCAGGGACACTGCCAGGCCTTCAAATGCGACTTATACTGATCCCTGGTCACATGCCCACCCAGGCGAGCACTGTTTACTGAATCCATTTATTTTATCCATTATCCCCTTTCTTTGGCATGGTGTGAAATGATAAGAAATATACACAGTTGAGCCCTGGCCGGTTTGGCTCAGCGGTTAGAGCGTCGGCCTGCAGTCCGGAGAGACCCGGGTTCGGTTCCCGCTAAGGGCATGTACCTCGGTTGCAGTTTGTCCCCAGCCCTGGTTGGGTTGTGCGGGTGGCAGCCACTCGATGTGTCCCTTTCACGTCGATGTTTCTCTCTCTCTCTCCGTCCCACTCTATCTGAACAAAATATGGAAAAATGTCCTCAGGTGAGGATTAAAAAAAAAGAAATATACACAGTTGACCCTGAACAACGCAGAGGTAGGGGCACCAATCCCCATGCAGTCAAAGTCCGCATGTAACGTTTGAGTCCCCAAAACTTAAATACTGAAAGCCTGCTGTTGGTCGGAAGCCGTTCTGATAACAGAGGATCAACACATATTTTGTATGTTATATGTATTATGTACTATATCCTTACAATAAAGTAAGGCAGAGAAAAGAAAGTCATAAGAAAGAAAAACTACATTTACAGTGTTTATTGAAAACAATTCCGTTTAAGTAGACCCCTCAGTTCAAGCCCACGGTGTTCAGGGTCAATTGTATTTGGTCTTTGTCTCTGGTTCTGGCACCCAGCTCCTGAAATCCCTGCAACCTCTGCAGTGATAAGAGCCTTTTTTAATGCAAGGAGATAACTGATGGCGGGGGACCCCAGATGACATCTAGATGGGGGTTGGTCAACAGAAAATCCAAGGTGTGGTGAGCGGATTGGAATTCTCAGCTCCGCGCCCTGAGTTCCAGGGAGGGGAGAGGAACTGGAGAATGACTTTATCGCCAGTGGTCAATGATTTAATCAGCCATGGCTAGTAATAAAATCCCCTAAAAGATGAGGTTGGGAGAGCTTTAGGGTTGGTGTACACACTGAGGAGTTCGCGGGGTGGTGACCCCCAGAGAGGACAGAGAAGCCGGGTGCCCCTCTCCCTCCCATACCTTGCCCCGCGCACCTCTTGTAGTTGGCTGTTTCTGAATCGTACCTTTGTAACAAACTGGTAACACTAAGTAAGTGCTTTCCTGAGTTCTGTGACTTGGGGGTGGGGCTGCAACCTGGGACTTGTGACTGGTGTGTGAAGCGGGGACATCTTGTGGGCACAGCCTCACCCGTGGGTGCTACCTCCAGGCAGTGTCAGAATTGAACTGCAGGACTCCACATATTTGGGGTCAGAAGTGTTGAGAGTGAAACAGTACAGACTTGGTTTATCAGAAACCCCGTCTCTATTAGCTGTGGAATCTCGGACAGTCTTTGTTAACCTTTTTAGGCTCAAAAAGAACAGTGAAATGCAAATGAGATTCAGACTCTAAAGGCATTTTATAATTACAAAACACAGTTGACTAAGCCTCATCTCCACGTCTGGCTGCATCATTTTTACTCTTATCAGAGTATGCAATGGAAAGAAGGGACAACACTGAATAAAAACTTGGGGTAGGACAGAGGATGAGGATCAAGAAAGTCCTGAAGAAACAGGATGTCCAATCAATCTGTCTGCCCGGGACTCTCGTGAGAGCCAGTTGTTAAATTTTAGAAGCTTTCAAAGCCAGTTATTAAATATAGCTATTGTAAAAAATTAAATTATGTAAAATTACAATTAAATAAGTTACATTTTAAAAAAGGCAATAAATACTCAAAAACATCACATCCAAAGTGTGTTATGTTATGATCTATGTCCTTGAAGTTATTTGTTATTGCATCTGTCTGGTAAGAATACTATATAATGGTTCATCTTTTCTCATCTCCACGTTGAGCAACATTAGCGGCTGGAAGCTGGAGTATTTACACCTCAGACCTGGGCAAACACTGTAGATGGTTCTCTCATAGCTGTTAAGCAACTACCAGCATACCATTAACTTAAAGCAGAAGAGTTTTAGATTCAATTTGACAACTTAAATGGGGGGGGGGGTGTCTGTTTTTTACAGAATGTTGGTAGAGAAAATATTTTAATTTTAGAAAAAGGGTCTACGTTTTTTCCCCTTTTGCTAAATTCTACAAAACAGCCTGAGAGAGCACTGTTTCTGTCATAAGATTTCAGCCTTGGGCTCATAGCAGGAGATGAGTTTGAAAAACTTTTATTTCTAACTTCATACTTATAGAGATGGTAGAAACTGTTTCATATGAGGATGATAATACCTAAACAATAGAACCCCTGCTCATTCTAAGAGTCCACTCCCTTGAGTTCATTAGAAAAAAAGACTCCATAATATAAAAACTCTATGCAAAATTGCAATCCAAGGAAACAGTTTTAGGTAATGTTTTACAATGCCCATTATATTATCCTTAATATAAGAATAAAGTGCTAACTAATCTAATTAAAGGGAAAATCTGCTGAAGAACAAAGAAGCATACTTGGCCAAATTTTCAAGTGATTCTCTGTCGTTGGCAAATATATTGAAAGCGCCGTCGCTGCTCCACAGCCCTGGCCCTTGGCTGAAGGCGACCACAGCGGGGACCTGCCTCTTGTCCTTCTTTGAGAACGTTGTCGTGAACTGCAGACCGTCCTCAGGATAAAGGAAAACGGCGTAGGAGCTGGACTCAGAGGAGGCCAGAGCAGCCTGGAATGTGTTTCTCTGTGGAGATGGGTTCAAATTCAGTTACTCAGGAAAGTATCCACAGGTCGGAAAATGTGCTATTCACCCGACTCGACGCAGAACGTCCGAAGACGGCAGAATTCTCCCTGGTTCTAAACGGACTTTGGTAGCAAGGACCAAGTATCCAAGACAGCTTCACTTGAATGTCTCTCAGGCTATGGCAACATGACACTTTCAAATGAATTAATGAATACCTTCTGCATAACTGTGACCCTAAGGTTAACCAAAAATTATAGAGATGGTGTCTCCAGACGGTGGCTTAACGATCTCATGCAACTGGGCAAATTCTTACCCTTAGATTTGTTTTTGTGGCCACGAAACATTCAACCACACCCATCGTTAGGCACACATTACCGAGCCTAAGCATCCTGTGGCGAGAAAAACGTAAGTTTGGGGTGAAAACAGACCTGAATCCAAATCCTCACTCATGTGGTGTGTGACCTGGGACAAGTCACCTAAGCTCTCTAAGCCTGGGTTCCTGAGTGTTCGATGGAGACAAACCACCTCCTTCATAGCGATGGCAGGAGGGCTACGTGGAAGAACATGAAGGGCAGGCACGGAGAAAGTCGCCCTAAACGTAGGACCTTTCCTGTGTGCCAGGCGGTGCCCTGGGCACGTGCACACAGACAGGAAGAGGACACGTCCCTGCACTTGAGACTGCAGGTCTGCTGGGAGACAGACATGCTTCCGTGACTGTGCTGCCGCCGCAGGGCCACCTGCAGAGGTCAGGGCGAGGGCGTCACAGCGGGGCAGCGAGGGCAGGATGCTCGCGAACAGCAAGCAGCTGCGGCAGAGGCTCTGTGGGGCGGGGTGCGCCAGGCCCCAGAGGCAGGCGGGGGCTCTGCACGGCGGCTGGGCTTTGTCGCTCAGGGCGCAGGGACACACTCAAGAACTTTAAGGTCTGAAGCAGTGTCCAAGCACAGCACTCTGGCAGATACAGGTGACGCAGCAAATGTGTCGGCCAGGCCCGTAACAGACTTCCCAGAGGGTGTTCTGCGGGTAAGGCATTTTATTTGGGAGGGAAAGGGGCATGGCCGAAACTGCCAAGTTCATCAAAATGACGCAGGTTTCTTTCCTGCAGTGCTTTTCAGAGGGAGCCACAGAGAGGGAGATACACTTGTAGCACTTCTGGAACAGATGCGGCCGGGGGCGGCCATTCTCCCAAGGACCACGTGCGACAGGCATTCTCGCCCACGCGCGGGGCATACCCGCTACGTGGACTGCTTTTGGGCCTTTCGGGTCTCTCCTGCTGTGTCACCCTATAAAACTAAATAATGGTGGAGCCAAATCACTTTTCCAAGCAGGGATTGAGGCATGCCTTAAAGAGTCACTTCAGACCTGGGGATGGCTTCCTGACCTACTCAGACAGCTCCCCTTCTTCAAGGGCACATCCTGCTCGGCCCCCCTCCAGCCTTTCCTGACCACGGCGCACTGAGCGCCCGCCCTGGACGTGGCTGAGCTTGTGTCTGAAACATCCACCCGGTGCAAGTGATTTCTGTCTCCCCGGAGCGTGACTTTGTCTTTATTTCTTACATCCTTCAGCACTACTTGGTTATTTTAACCTTCACTTCATACCAATAACGTCTCTATTTAACCAGAAATGACCTCCTACTAGCTGACCAAAGTAAGAGCAAGCAGGGGGCAGGATTCATCCACCTCACTCCTGAGAAGAGCGGTCTTCCCAGGAGCTGGCTTTCTTTGCGGCACAGCTGCGAGGCCGGCAGCGGGGCTGGAGGTTCCGGACCCCAGTAACAGCCTGCTGGGCTTTGCGTCGGACGGCCTGTCTTCATCAATGACACAGCATGCTGCACAGCAGAGCACCGGCCAGACCCAGCCAACCTGGCAGACTCTGTGCACTGGAACCTGGGCGAGTGCTCACCTTGTCATCCTGGGCAGGGTCCTCACTGGGCCCGCGGTAGGGGGCCACGGATTCCCAGGTGACAACCACCACACTTCTGGGCTGGAAAGAGACTTCCGGGAACCCTCTCTGGACACACTCCGCTGCCAGCTGAGTGACGGAGGGGGACGAGTCCTCTCGATAGTAGACCTTCCCAAGGCCACCTGTGGTGTCCAGGTCGGCCAGGAAAGGTGCCGCGGCACCGAAGGTCGGAGGGAAGAGCCCAGGATGGGCTTCCTCGGCCGGCGGTTCACTCGTGGCAATGAGGCCATTGGTGGTGACCTGTGCAAAACCAAGCAGAGTGAAAAGGAGCGTTTTCTTCAGGGGAGACTGAGTACCCACTCGGGGAACGCTGCCACGGGTGCCCCCGTGCCAAGTACAACAGAATCGAAAGATGTGACCCCGAACGGCAGGGGTCAGCCTTTCTCCTGGCAGGCGTCCTGGTAGAAGGGGCACAGCCCGCCGCCACACGCGCCAGTCCCTGTGCTCTGGACAAGTGTCTTACGAGTCTCAGGCTTCCCCTGGGCGCACACTTTGTATCCTGCAAAAGGCCATTCAACTTACGTCACTACTGGAGCCTTCATTAATTTACTTAACAAGCTGAGTCATCCTGCCGTACCAGGTCCACTGGGTCCTACATGGACTCTGCCTTCAAGAAGCCCGCCATCCGAAAGGTGTGGGGAAGGACGGCCCAAACAGAAGACCACACAGGTTCCTGAGAAGTGAGGCGTCTAGGAGGAAGTCTGAATGGGGCATATGGTAGCTTTGCTTTGAATAGTTTACTGTCTCAGAACAACAACTAACACTTACTGGATGTTTACCATGGTCTAGACATCATATTAACAGCTAATTCTCAGAACCCTGTAAGACTGGATACACCAGTGTCCACGTTTCTCAGATGAGGAAAACGAGGTACGTGAATCGGTTTGTGCAAAGTGACCAGTGAGTGGCAGCGCTGGGACGTGAACCCGGGAGCCCAGCTGCAGGTCGGCGCTCCTCAGCTCCACGTGTACAGCCTTCCTGGAGTCCGGCGTAACTGCCTGATAGGTGCCGCTGTTCTCGTCCCCTGGAAACCCATGCTCCTTGGGAAAACAGGACAGAAGCCCCATGCGGGGGGAGGGGCACCGCAAAGCCCCGTGAGAATGAGGCTTTGACCCCATTCACGTCTTGTTTGACCCCACTGGTGACACAGAATCCACTCCACTGGTCTTTATACTTCAAGAATCTGGGAATTTAAAAAAATCCCTAACCACATGGGGGAGAGTTTGCAAATGGCACCTCAGTTTGCACTTTGAGAGGCTGTAGTTGGGAGAGCATCAGTGGGAAGGGACTCTCCACTGTCTGTGGGTTTTCTAGGTCATTTCTTTCCCTCCCTCCTCCATCCACATCCTTATCCTTCAGTCACTTCACACCTTGTTACTGGAGGAGGGACAGGGTGGACAAAAAGGACAGGAACTTGAGACCAAACCCTTGCAGCACGCCAACCACCAGGTGAAAAGCCTCCCCGGAGCCGACCGCATGGAGTTGAGGGGTGATTAGCTTCATGGGCTGTGACTGTTTAGGGGACATACTTCCCATCCTCACCTGGCACCAGCAGTAATTTTTTGGAATACTGGGACAGGCTGCAGAGAAGGGGTCAGGGATGAGCTGGCCCAGCCGGCTCTCCCCACTCCCCTCCAACACTGCCCAGCCAGGCGGGAGCGTGGGAAACTGCTCGCTTTCTCAAGACACCAGAAGTTGGCAGCCACCAGCTGCTAGCGGGGAGTTACACACATACAGACAACTTAGTTTAAAAAATCTGTTTTCCAGTGAAATTTAAGTCAGTCCAACAGTTTAGAAAAGACTCCCAGTGCCTTTTATTATTTAGAATCTGGGCACAGGAATGTTCTTATTTCCGCAAGAAATGCTTTAGGGATGGAGTTTCAGAGCCCTGCCCCACAGCACCGCAGCCTTGGGCAGGGGCCAGAGGACTCCCGTTTCCGTCAGTTTGGGAAAATGACTTTTCAGCGGTTTTCTTGCACATTCAACTCAGGTGTCTGTGATCATGGATGACATCACAGGTAAATGTCATGTACAGACCATCCACAAGTTTCATTTGATTCTTAACTTTAAGCCCCTCCCACCCTCATAAATGTTATTTTTTGGATACAGTCGTCCCTCGCCACTTCACGCTTCGACTTTTGCAGCTTCGCTCTATTGCGGTTTTTTCAAATATATTCATTAAAAAGTTGATCGAGACAGTGAAAATGACACTGCTCGTGCTCGGTTGTCTGAGTCAATTATACACCCCTGTATGATGATTAAATTAAAATGACTCTACGTATGGACTGTAGGCCTATGTATTCGAGAACCCCAGGAATCCTTCAACGCCAGATACAACCGCTCGACCACCCCTTGTGTGAGGGCAATAACTTTTTCCCAAAAAATTGGTTGTGGTGAAACTAAGCCATTCAGAGCGTGCTGATTGGCTATCCTATCCTGGCCACTGATTGGCTCAGCCTCGTGCAAATTAATTTCTCTCATGCACACTTCTACATCGCTGCGCATTGGAAGCATCTTTGCTCTTGTAAGTGTTTGCGATTTCTGAGAACTTTTATCTAAGCCCCACGATGGCTCCTAAACGTGTTGCTTCTTCTAAGCAGTGTCGTTCTCCACAGAGAAGCTGCCTGTGCGGACCAGCCTGCAACAGAGGACTGCATGAACAATGTGTTCCAGAAGATCCTCGAGGAGGGCGAGTATCACTCAGAACAGGTGTTCAATATGGATGAAACAGGACTGTTCTGGAAAAGAACGCCTTCCCGGACATTCACAAGGATGGGGCCAAGGTCCGCGGCTTCAAGGTGCATAAGGATCGCGTGACTATCGTTCTGTGCGGAAATGCTGAGGGACTTTTGCTCAAGCTGCCCTTATCTACAAGGCCAAGAACCCGAGGGCCCCAAAGAATAGAAACAAGAACCTGCTGCCAGTGCACTGGATGCACAACAACAAGGGCTGGATCACGAAGCAGCTGTCGTCGGTCTGGTTCCATGAGTGCTTCACCCCCAGTCAAGCTGTATCTCACGGAGAAGGGACTCTAGTTTAATGTCCTTCTCCTCATGGACAAAGCTGGAGGTCATGCGCAAGACCTATCCTATGACGGTGTGCGGATCAGTTCCTTCCTCCCAACACCACTTCGCTGACCCAGCCCATGGATCAAGGTGTTATTCACATGTTCAAGGCCCTCTACACGCAAAACACCCTGCAGCGCCTCGGTGAAGGCAGGACCTTGAGGAGAACTTCTTGTTGAGAGTGCTGGCGGCGGTATACCATTGTGACCTGTCTGAAGAACGTCCAGGTCACGTTGAAGGACATATAGACGGAGGCCATGAAGGCCAGCTGGAAGGTGTTGTGGCCTGACATTTTCCCGACTACAGAGGATTCACCCCGGAGGATATAAGCCACTCGCCAGTGGATAAGGCAGTTAGCCGAGCCCGGATGCTGGGAGGAGAAGTCTTCATGGATATGACCCCGATGACGTGGATGAGCTGCTGGAGACACATTCGGATCCTTCACTGATGAGGATCTGGTGGCGATGACTAAGTCTGCGAGTGAGGAGGAGGAAGAGCAGCCAGAGGGTCCTGGGTCAGGAGGAGGAAGCTGGCCTTACACGTGAGCATCTCTGGCAAGTCGTGAGAACCATTAAGGTAGCACAGGACACGACAGGTGAATGGGCCCCACAATGACGCGAGCACTGCGTTCCGGATGCACGCGATGGGGCGACAGGACCCTGCAGAAGCCTCCTCACGCGTATGAAAGGACAGCGCCAGCGACTGCCTCTCACGGTGTTCTTCAGCCGCACCCAGACACCCGCTGCCTGCTCCTCCTGCTCCTCCTGCTCCTCCTGCTCCTCCTGCTCCTCCGGCTCCTCCGGCTCCTCCTGCTCCTCCTGCTCCTTCGCGGGAGACGGCGGCGACGCGCCTGCTGGAGACACTGCACCACCCGCAGACTCCTGCCGAGGCCGGGCCTGCAGAGCAGCGACCTTGCTCTTCTTTGCTGTGCAGCACGTCTCTCATCTTCATCACTTCATCATCGAACAGGTTGCGCTGTTTTCATAGGTGAGTGGTTGTGTGTAAGAACTGCGTGTGTGTGTGTGTGTGCGTGTGTGATTAAATGTACAATAATGTGATATTTGTAACGTCTAATGTCTTATTTTCTCTTATTTTGTCTAATAGATTGGGTAATACGAGTGTAATGGTGACTAAAGGGTGTTATTTCATGTCTAGAGGACTCTAATAATGTAAAAAAACGTATTTAGAAGGTCGTAAATGGGTTTTCTATGCTCTGAGAAAATAGTCAATTTATAAACAATGAATCCTACTTAGTGGAAATTTATTATCGCGATAGAGTCTGGAACTGGTCAACTGTGAAAAACGAGGGCCGACTGTAGACCATTAACTGCACGACAGGCAACGTTCCCGTACATCCAGGTGCCGGTCTCATCTGACAAATCTTTCTCCATCTTTCCAAAGCGCCATCAACAAATTCAATAGGAGGGTCGGGAACACAAAGGAAGGCACTCAGGAGGCCAGGAGGACAGACGGGTACAGTCTCCAAGAGGACGAGGCTAGGGACCCAGGAGGTTTCACAGCCACCTGTCCCACTGCCCAGGGCTGTCCCCCTGCTGCCATTCACCCAGGTGCTTCAGCCAGGACACTCAGGAGTCAGCCTCGGTTCCTTCCTGGTTCTCGCCCCATGTCCTGCTGCCGCTAGGACCCCTCCCCCACCTGATGCAGTCACAGGACTGGCTCTGACTCATCCTTTAGGGCTCAGATGAAGGAACGCCTTCTTCTCCCTTGCTCCCTGAACCCCAATTTATATCTCCACCTCCTCTTTCTTTCTTTCCAGGAGCGACTGCAGTTCATCATGATCGCTCTGTCCACTTGCTGGCTCTGGCTGCCGCCCCCACTAAGCAACATGCTTCCCCGAGGGTTGGGACCATGTCCACCTTGGTCACTGATGTAGCGACACATCTTACATGTGGCCTGGCATGTGTTGGTCCCCTCCCTCCCTCACTTCCTCCAGGATTTTCACGCAGGATACATGCCTGCAATGCTGAGGTTGTTCCAGCAACCATGCCTGACAGTGTGTGAGCCGAGAGGGACCACCGCACCGGGCGATACTGCAGTTCTTTCCACTGGCTTGTGACCTGAAACAAATTACTAAAACCAAGAATTTGCTAACCACGAACCTACAACTTGAATCTGAGCGAGTCTCTGGATCTAACTACCAGTTTACAGGAAATG